AGAAATTGGAGGAGTTTGTATTTAATAGATGCAGAGTGAATATTGTTGGTTGAGGCATTAAAGTTACCAAGTATGATGGGAAGCAGGTTGAGAGTATAGGCATCTTGTATCCATTAAATAATAGTATTTTGAGCTTGAAGTCTAATAGAGGCATCATTGCAGGGAAGAAGCTTTCAATTTTATAAGGTAATGCTATGTGCATTATACTATAAAATTGAAAGCCTGATCAGAAAAACATGATATACTAATAGATCAAAGTATTTCTTTTTTCTTGGTAGCATTCTAATAAAGAATTAAATTTGTTTTATTATAAATCATAAATAAACTTAATCATCTTTGATAAAATAACATAGTAAATTTAATAAATTTGCAATTATAAATGTCATCAGAAAGTGGTTATATATTATTGTTTTTTAATATTTCTTCAGATTCAGTTAATTCTGATAAAATATTTTTGTTGTTTTGCCATTCTGTAAGGATTTCACAAATTCTTATAGCTGATGGGTGCTTTATTTATTTATTTTTTTTTTTTGATTACCTCATACAAATTTATTAGATATATGTAAGCTTAGACCAGCTAGACTATCTAAAATTATATTCTGCTAATACCTAGCTGCTATAAAAGTGCCCAAGTATAGTTATCATACTGATATTGGCCAACAAATCCTACATGTGCTGCTACACATATTTAAAAACTTGCTAAACCTAGTAATTAGCTACCTTTGGCCTTCAACTTTTCTCACCTAAGTCTAGGCAGAATAGTTTATCTCTTACATTTTTATAAAAGAAAAAAATAAATATCAAATTTACAAAAGAAAATTACAAGTATAAAACCAAACAAAAAAGAAAAAAAACAAAATTTCTAATTTAAATTCAATCATAATTAAACAGAGATGAAACTAGCAAAGAACAAAAAAAATACAAATGAATAGAAAGAAAAGAGCAAAAAAAAAAAAGAAAATATACACTATTAAGCCCATGCACAAGACTAAAAAATTATATACTAAATGCAACACTCGTATATCTCTGTTGTAAAGCTTTGCCTTAATGTAAAAACTTCTTTTTGATATACACAAATCTCAGAAACAATCCAGATCTACATACTAATCTTTTAAGGTAGCACTATGACTATATATATAGTCAAACAAAATACGTAGTTGCAATCTACCAACTCATCTGAATTTGGAAGAAGTAAACAATGCTGATCTTTTGACAGGGTAAGGTGTTTTGCCCACTTTTTATGAAAATTTTGTAGAAGAAGCAAGTGGGTAATAGTATAAAATATAACCCTCATTCTCTTCTTTAAGGAACATATATTCTTTTCTAAAAGTAGTAGAACGTATAGAGCCAGGTTAACTGCTGACTTTCTAGTCAGTAGGTGATAAACCCTGAACTTGTTAGCAAGTATCATATAAGAACTACTTCTAAATAACAAGTGCCATCCCCATAGTAAGTGATAAGCTCTAAGCCTGTTAGCAGGTAGCATATGAGAACTATCTTTAAATAACAGGTGCCAGTTTATAGTTTTTATCAGTCTTCTGCCACTCTCTGCTTTCATAGTTTACTGTTTTTTGAAAAAAGGTTTGTTGTGATTTTGGTGTGAGAGATTGTCAGAAAGAGTTCTGATTTTAATTTTTTTAATAATAAGAGAACTACTATTTGTGCTGATGGGTGCTTTATTGGTTCTTTTTCCTAATATTTTTTCATTAAACATAAATAGCATTGTGATGAGTTCTCTATAATTTTTAGCCATAAATTTTCTCGGCATATTTTAATTTGAAGTTGTGTTCCAAATTCTTGATTATAACCTACAGATTATTTATATAAAATCTCTCACATGATTTACAGGTAAAAAAATCAATTATTAACTAAATAATAACCAGTAATTTCTGGTACATATTATAACTTATTTCCTCTTATTTACTATATATTCACTAGATAATATATGCATTTAAACATATTAACTAAAAATATATAAATTACACAAATTATTTAGTAAATATATAGTAAATAAGTTATAATTTGCACCAGAAATTACTAGTTATTATTTATTTAATAATTGATTTTTTTACTAGTGATTATTCCAAATGAATAAATATTTGATACCATTGTATATTGTTCTTGACCAAAATTTCTGGTGCTATATATTAGGAATGTGATTCTGCTTATCTGAACTCTGTTCACCTCTGTTTGAAATCTGAACAAGTTAAATATGAGTTTTTTAATTATGTGAATTTGATTATATAAAATGAAACTCAATATATTTGAATCGAGTTTAAAATCAATTTTACAAACATAAACTTCATAATTTGTAGTTTTTAACTTTTTAATTTAATAATATGATTTTTATAAATTAAATATAACTTTAAAAATGTAATAATATAAAAATAAAGTAAAATAATAAAATATTTTAAATTAAATATGATATCTTTTGATTATATGATGTTTTTAATTAAATAATGTTATTTTTTTAATTAATAATGGTTTTAATTAAACATAATCAAGAAAAAATATATAAATATATTTTTTTTTATTTTCTTCAATTATTTCAATTTTATATAATAGATGAAGCAAGGTCATTTGAACAACCTAATTTAACTGAACTTATCTTCACGTTGAACTCAATAATATCACAAAATGAATTTGAACTCAACCCAAAATGCAATCAGCTATATGAAGAAAACATTTGTGTGTATCTTTATCTAACAATGTGATTGATTCAGTTATTGTTAATTGTATAAGAGTCATAAGTAAATAATTATATACACAATACTACTACTGTATGAATACAATATGTAAATGTTAATCTATATAATAACATAAATATATATTATACATGTATTTTAATAAAAATATAATAGGTTTAAACTAACATGTTTGGGCAAACCTAATTAGTATTCATGGTTTTAAAACAGAGTTTGAAACCCAATTTTTGTATGTGCTTCAAAACAGTGTTTGTTCAGGTTTCGGAATATAAACTAACTAGTGTTGTAATCAGAGAACTGCAACTTGGTCACTTTACAATCCAAAATTCTGTATAACTAAAGATAGATAACCTTATGAAAGAGGTGCATTAGATTTGGCTGGTGGATAATTAAGGCTTTTGGTTATTTGGGTTGGCAAAGTCAGGTACGTAAAGTCACGTGACTCAGAACTTAAACAAACATGATTTTTTTTTAGAAGTCTATAGGGTTTATATTAGATATAGTATTAATATATTATTATAAGTAGTTTATAAGATGTGGATTAATTTTTTAATAAAGCAAAACAAAGCATAATCTCTTCATGAGCCATCTTGGTCTTTATTTATATTACTCAATTTCATTGTTTACAAATACAATTTTATATTCAATATTGGATAGGCTATATAAAATTATTTATATTTAATTTTCCTAAATTTTTTTTTAAGGATATTTAATTTGCACATATATCTCCTTGTTATTTTTTATCTATCTCTATGTATCCAAAATACTATTTTCAATCATAAATGGAATTAATTATACTTTATATATTTTATGCATTTTTTATATGATTAATCATAGTTTTTGGGTCTTACACCAGTATAGCAAAATCACATCTCTACCCTTTATAATTACACATTTTGTTTATTTAATAACTTTTTTAAAAAATATGCTTATAAAGAGATTGTGCTTATATAGAGGTAGTTTTTTTATATATTTAATAGTAATTTGTTTTTGAGTATAAAATATAATAAAAAGGGGTTTTTATATAATATGATTATAGAGAGGATGACTATAGAGTGGGATGACTGTATAGTAAAATTCTATAAACATTACATTGTTACTATATGTAGAAAAATAAAAAATAATAAATATGCTAGTTTAGAATAGGACAGTAAATAATACAAGTTAGAAATTAAATATATATAGTATAGGTTTCCCTTAGCAAAATTTCTGAAAATATCATATACATAATATAGTATATATAGATTAGCTTGTAATATAATACAGGCAAATCAAAAGCTAATAATGAAGTGTTATAAAAAATTATTTGCACATCTTGGATTATGAATACTGAAGCTTCAAATACCTCTATTTTTGCTTTAAACAGTGGAGATAAAATATATATTGGTATATTACTAAGAACTTCAGCAATATTTGCTACTATTTTATCTATTAAAATTTGGTCCAATTCAAACTAATTCAAACTAATTCAAACTTAACTATATATAGTCAACTCTGGAAATAACGAACCAGATATACTACTACTAATATAATTAGATATTATTTAAATTTTAGAAATAAGATAGTTTTATACTAAAAATAGAATTATCTTGAGTAATCAACATTTTAAAAACTGAATAAATTGTATGCCATCTACCCAATGATTTGGAAAGCAATTCTACTCTTGAGTTAGGTTTAGATTGCAAAGTAGATAAACTTTGGCAATGAGAAATTTAACTATTCTGGTAAACTTATTCAAAGAATTTAATTATTTTTAGCTTGTTTAGAATTTAACTTCACTTACATATACATGTTTCAATTGATAGCAATGAATAATAAAAATATTTATAAAAAATCAACTAATATACTAATATTTAAAAATCAAGAAAAGCTTTATTTTATTATGGGTAGATATGAAAATATACTTGTTAATTTAATTAATAAATTAACTAAATCACTAAAAGATCCAAACAATATAGTTAAATTAAGCTACTAAGAATATAATAAAGTATTTGAAAATTTAACTTGATTACTAGAAATTGAACCTGCTAATATATATATTAAGAAGAAATTTAATTATATAATGAAAAGATATTCTTAGTCAATTGCTAACTTGAAGAAATTATTAAAATTTAAATACAATTATTTAATAATAATCATTATTTTTTCATTCCTATCACTCTATTCTTTCTCATTCCATTCTTCTTGATCTTCATTCTCCTCATCTTTTTTATTTTCTTTGCCTTCATTTTTTACACCTTCATTCTCTTTATTTTTATTATTATTATCATACTTATTATGATTATTATTCTCTTTATTATCTTTATTTTTATTATTATATTCTTCTATATTTTTATCATTACTTTCTTCTTCATCTTCCTCATTCTCTCCAAAGTATTCAGTATTTTTTATACATTCTAATAAATTATCCCAGTAGTTATTTTTGTTCAGTCTGTACTAGATAAATATAGAAAATTGATCAGAAACTTCTGATTTGGTACAGTTTTTGGGTAGAATCTAAATCTTGATACTATTCTAGGTTTTTTTAATTGTATTAGTGTGGGTTTTTGTAATTAGGTTAACAAAATTTATATTATGATTGACAGTATAATATTGAAGTTCTAAAATAGAAGTTATTTTTAAATAAGCATGCTATATATCAGAAAAGGTTATAAATTTAAGATATATATTTTTCTTAATTAAAAAAAGTAATATTTCTGCAAATTTGTTTTCAATAGCTCTTACAAACATTTTTCTTTTTGTAGTTTGCTCTACTCCATCAAAAATCTAAACATCTTTAACATGAAGATACTGATTAAATTTTTACTTCTCAAATAGTAATTCATCTATTTTAATAATAATATTTGGTTTTCTAATCTTATTTTGTGTTTCTTGAAAATTAAAATCAACAAGCTTTCTAAAAAAAAAAAAAAACTAGGACTTTATACAAGCATATTAGTAAAAATTAATCAATCATTAACTAATAATTTTATTCTTACCTGTAGTAACCAATATAGTTAGTCATTATATTTACCAAATAGTTTGTAATAGTTATAATTGTATTCTGTAGTGCTTTAGTAAGCCATAAATAACCAATATAAAGAACTTTATTAATCTTTAATCAGCCCTTGGTAAAAAATAAATCTTTAAAAAGAGACACAGCCTTTTTATATCTTTTTTTTTTTTTTATGTCTTGCTATTTGATCACTATATACACATCTTGGTTTATTGTAAAAAATTCCTTTATTAAATAAAAAATTAATACAATTTTTCTAATTTAAAAAAATAGATTGAAGTAATAATTGAGGAAGTATTATTTTGAAGTTATAATTAAGCATTATTTATAGTATCAAAATTTGAATTTTGCAAATTGAATTGTGTAAATATTATATAATATTAAGTAAGTTTTATTTATTAAACTTAATGATAATCATCTTAAAAAATTAATAACCAATGTTTACAATATTAATAATAAAGGTTAACCATTTATACAAATAGCTAATATCTATATCTTTGGAATTATTGTTTTATAAAATATTAGCAAAAAGATTTATTAATTTATTAATTAATAAGTGCAAAATAATGCTTGTAAGCATTATTTTGAAAATTAGATCCTTTAAAAATAACTTATATAGTCCCAAACTAGTACTTATAAGCATCCTGAATTAACATATATTCTTGTGATTCTTTATAAATACACATAATTTGTTTAATCTAATGTAATTATTTAATATTATCAATAATATTATCTTTATTAAGATATATAAGAATCTAGAGTTTGTGAGTTTTAAAAAATAAGTTAGTTCAAAAAGCAAATAAGTTAATGCTAGTAGATTAGAAGTTGGTTTAAATAGTTTGATATAGCTTGTTATCAAGAATCATATCTTCTAAATAGATAAACCAAAGTAGTTTTTTCTTTTAAAAATATGTAGAAGTTTAGAAAATAGGTGTAACTAGTCTTGTTGTCAGATAAACAAAGTTATTCAAGATAAAAAATATTTTTGTGTCAAAGTTGTTGTTTGAAAATATTGTTTTTGGGATGGTTGAAGAGGATTTTTTTAAGTGAAGTGTTGTTATCATTTATAGTTTTAGACCAGGAAGTATCAAGATAGAAGTGTATAAAAATATATAAGTAGTTAAGAAGTTGTATAATTTTAAAAGTTGTAGAATATTTATTTAGATCATCAATAATAAGATAGGGGTATTGAAGGATATTAGTAGTAGACCAAAGACTGTTTTGAAGTTGTTGAAGTTAGATATGAGTTATTGTACCAAGAGTGAAGATATTATTAATACAGATAAGAAAATTACTAATGTGGTGTTGAAGTTGTATATTCTAAATATTGTGAATATTATAGAGGTTGTAATTGAGAAAATTACTATTAGGAGTAGAACAAGAAAGATATGCTTTGTGTTTGCCAATAGTAAGATATTTGCCAAAAATTATGTTATATGTGAAAAGGGAATAACAATATTATGAATTCAATATTCAATAGTAGAGATAATAACAGTTTTAATAATATAAGTAATTTGTTTGTCAGTAATACTTTTAATACTAGCAATGTTGGCTAAATTAATAGCTTTATCATGGATAAGTTTGATTTGAGAGATTTGTTTATTGTTAAGAGTAAACTAACATCCCAGAAATTTAAAAGGCTGAAAAAGTAGAATAGATTGAAGGTTGAAATTAAGAAATAAGAAGTTTGATGAGGTTTGGTTTGTAATAAATATAGATTTAGTGAAGTTAACTTGAATATTTGCCATGAAGTAGAAAGAGGTGGTGATATTAACAATTTCATTAAGTTGTTCTTTAGATTGGGCAATCTATAATATATTATCCATATGTACCAGAACTGATATAGAGATATTGAGGTAGTTAGTAAAAGAATGTAGAAAGCTAGTTGCCAGAAAGTGAAGAGTGTATATCTAGAAAAGTATAAGGAGATATATGATATGAGAAGGTCATAGTAGATTTTTCAAAAAAAAAGAAGTAATTGTTTCATCTTGGTCAATACTATTTCTAATAGAGTAAAAATTAGTAAGACCAAGATTAGTAATAACCTAATTAGTATGATCAAATAAAAGGTTGGTAAGAATGTTAATAAGCTGTTGAGATATTGTATATGATAAAGAGATTTTTAAAATAGGTTGAAGTTAACTAAGTCATAGGCCTTGCTCATATCTTGAGAAAGTAACCAGAGTTGGTTTGAGTTGCAATAGGCATCTTCTATTATATTGTTAAAGATATGGATAAGAATAGAAGTTGAGTTGCCAGAAAGTGCAACAAAGTTGAAGAGAAATAGAATATTGTATTGGAACAAAATAGTATTAAGACAGTTAGTAAGAAGTTTTGTATATAGCTTTTTAATGTGTTTTATACTTGTAATTTTCTTTTGTAAATTTGATATTTATTTTTTTCTTTTATAAAAATGTAAGAGATAAACTATT